ACAGCAGATAGTGACTGAACTGTCTTTGAAATTTCCTGCTTCATGGAAAAGTCTGCTGGATACTATGGGCCTGTAGGCTGAAGATGGATGCCCCAACAGTACAGAGGAACTTTGGGTGACTGTCCAGGCAGCGAGATGTCTCTGTCATTTCTAGAGTTTCGGACTTCTTGTTTGCTTAGGTAATATTATATCCTTCTGGAGTCTTTGATGGAGTTGAAGAATGGATACATAGTTGTAGTTTTCCTTAGTTATGATAAAAGATAAAGTAGATATAAATATTGTAACTATAATTCTTACTTGATAACGTTTTGCTATATGTAATTTTACTATGTTAAAATGAAAGCCTTTCTTTTTTGTTTAAACAGAAAAAGGGGAAATGATGTGGGAGTGATTTCTTATTAATAAAGAAACTGCCTAGGCCCCTTGTAGGTAGGTGGAGTAAACAGAACAGAATGCTGGGAGAAAGAAACTGAGTCAAGGAGTCGCCATGATTCTCCCACTCCAGACAGATGCAGGTTAAGATCTTCCCTGGTAAGCCAGCTCGTGGAGCTACACAGATTATTAGAAATGGGTTAGAACAATATGTAAGAGCTAGCCAATAAGAGGCTTGGAACTAATGGGCCAGGCAGTGTTTAAAAGAATACAGTTTCCGTGTAATTATTTCGGGGCATAAGCTAGCCATGCGGGCGGCCGGGTGCCGGGGACGCAGCCTCGCCGCTCTTACTACTACACATAAGCCTGAATTTTCCTTCCTTTGGCTTGACAAAATTTTAAGAAATAAAAAGCAAAAAAAGAGTAGGCAAGCTGGCTTTACCAGCCTGAAGAGCGGTGCTCTGAAGGACACTTTCAAGATAAGACAGGTAGTGACATACACTGGCAACCCCAGCATTCGGGAAGCAGGATTGCCATTGGTGGGAGGGTGATGTGGGAGTGTCATATATCAATCTGTTGATTTCATTGGTTAAGCAATAAAGAAACTCCTTGGCCCTGATAGGTTAAAACATAGGTGGGAGGAGTAAACAGAATAGGATGCTGGGAGGAAGAGGAAGTGAGGTCAGACTCTGCTCTGCTCCCAGAGATACCCAACAGCTCTGATCTCTGGAGCAGAGACGCCATGCTCAGCTCTCCCGGGTAGACTCGACAGCTCTGCTCTCTGGAGCAGAGGCCCTGCTTCGCTCTCCTGGACACACGCGATGAAGCGCCAACTCAGGATGGACGTAGGCTAGAATCTTCCCGGTAAGCGCACCTTGGGGTGCTTACACACATTATAAGAAATGGGCTAGTCCAGGTGCGAGAGTTAGCCGAGAAGAGGCTAGATATAATGGGAAAGCAGTGTTTAAACAACAGTTTGTGTGTTGTTATTTCGGGCATGAGCTAGCAGGCGGCTGGGGTACTGGGGACGAAGCCCCGCTGCCCTTATTTCAACAGGAGGGTGTGGGGGATGGGGACACATGCAAGCCATGGTGCTGCCTGGAGGTTAAAGATGACTTTCAGTTCCTTCATTCCACTTTGTGGATTCTGGGGATGCAACTCAGGTGGCCAGGGTACCCACTGAGCCATCTCACCAGCTACATAGTAAGGCCCTGTCTCAAAAAATATAAAACAAAGATATCACAGTCAAACCTATTTAAACGCTTTTATTAAATTCAGACACATTATGCAGCATTTCCCAAAAATACTGGTTCCAGAAACATTAAACCCTTTTATTCTTCTGTTTTGATGTGCTGGGGCTTGCACACACATCTTCCTGCTTGCTAAGCGTGCAGTCTCCAGTTGAGCTGCCAGTCCCAGTCCCTCAAACCCCTGGAAGAGTTTTACTTTCCCTTCTCTGTTTCACCTTACACAAATGAGCTAGTACATGTACCCTCTCATCAGAGAAATCTCCAGGAATACAGAAGTAGAGTAAAACCTACCCCACCACCTTCCTCACAAGTGGCACTGCTGGCAGCCTGAGGCAAACCCTTCGAGATCTTCCTTCTACATGCTTGCTTTCATGGGCATGCTCAGATCATGGCTAGATGTATGTCCCAAAGTCATGCCTTCTGCATGAGACAGCGGCTCTGGTCTTCACCCTAGAAGCTAGACAGGCTGGTACCCCCGTGACTGTCTTAGCTACTGTATGGCCTGGTAGTGCTGAGGCCAGGTCACTGCTATGGTTTAGACCTGGTCTGCATCTCGCTAGGGTTTCTAGGTCCCAATTTAATCCCCATTGTGTGGTATTAAGAGGGTGGACACTGAACTTGGGGCATAGCCCAGTGATAGGGAGAATGTGAGGTTCTGAGTTCAATTCAAAGCCCTCAAAAGAAAACAGAAAAGAGGACAGAATTTAATATGACCATGGTATTTGGGGTGGGCCTTTGGGGAGTGATTAGGGTTAGATAGGGACTCTTAAGTGGAGCCCCATGAGTGACTTTACAAAAGACACAAAGTCCCTGATATTGCCCTGTGCCACATTGGGACTTCCTAGCAAGAAGGCCAGCATGAAAAGTGGCCAAGATGTCCATTTCTAATCATGAGTAATTCTGACATCCCCACGTGTCCAGAATGGAGTGTGTGTGTGTGTGTGTGTGTGTGTGTGTGTGTGTGTGTGTGTGTACACGCGCGCGAGCATTCTTCATTTCTTTTTCTAGGGTTTCTCTGTGTAGCCTTGACTGTTTTGGAACTCACTCTGTAGACCAGGCTGGCCTCAAATTCACAGAGATCTGCCTGCCTCTGCCTCCCAAGTGCTGGGATTAAAGGCATACACTGCCACTGTCCAGCTTGGCCTGCCTGCCTTCCTTCCTTCCTTTCTTTTTTTTTTTTTAAGATTTATTTATTATGTATACAGTGTTCTGCCTGCATGTATGCTGCTGGCCAGAAGAGGGCACCAGATCTCATTACAGATGGTTGTGAACCACCATGTATTTGCTGGGACTTGAACTCAGGACCTCTGGTAGAGCAGTCAGTGCTCTTAACCTCTTAGCCCCCTTACCAGTGTGCCCCCTTTTTATATTTATTATTTAGAGGTCAAAGGGATGGCTCAGCAATTAAGAGTTCTTGCTCCTCTTACAGAGACTTAGGTTTGGTTCCCAGCACCCACATGATAAATGACAACTGCCTGTAACCCCAGGAGCAGGAGATCAGATGCTCTCTGACCTCTGTGGACACCGACATGCATGGCATTCATGAAAGCATCCACATAGAGACATAAAATATGTTAAAACTGTGTCTGAGCCACAGTTGGAAGAAGGCATGGGATCCTTTGGAACTAGAGTCTCAGGTGATTTTGAGTCACTTGATGTCTTGCTTGTCTTTTTTTTTTTTAAGGTTTATTTATTTATTATGTATACAGTGTTCTGCCTGTATATATGCTTACATGTCATCTCATTACAGATGGTTGTGAGCCACCATGTTGCTGGAAATTGAACTCAGGACCTCTGAAAAAGCAGCCAGTGCTCTTAACCTCTGAGCCATCTCTCCAGCCCTAATGTCTTACTTTTATATTGTTGTGAAGACACCACGACCAAGGAAACTTACAGAAGGGAAAGTTTATTGGGCTTCCAGTTTTAGAGTGTGAGTCCATGGCTGCAGGTAGGCAGTGTGGCCGCAGGCAGGCACGGTGCTGGGGCAGCAGCTGAGATCTCACATTTGATCCACAAGTACCAGACAGGGAGAGCTAACTGGGAATGGTGTCCACCCCCAGTGACACGCCTCCTCCAAGGCCACACCTCCTATTCCTTCCCAAACAGTTCCACCAACTGGAGACAAAGCACTCAAATATATGAACCAATGGGGGCCATTCCCATTCAACCACCACATGTGACCTGGGAACTGAACTACTCCAGTCCTCTGGAAGAGCAGCAAACATTCTGACCCTCTGATTTTTTTTTTCTTGATGATACCTTCACCATGGTGCTTGTGAGGTCTGATTCTAAGTGTGCTCCAGTGTTGAGGGATATTTGTACATTGTGTGAAGATGTGTTGCTGTGATTGGTGTAATAAAAAAAGCTGAATGGAGTCGGGAGGTGGTGGCGCACGCCTTTAATCCCAGCACTCGGGAGGCAGAGGCAGGCAGATCTCTGTGAGTTCGAGACCAGTCTGGTCAGGATAGGCTCCAAAACCACAGAGAAACCTGTCTCGAAAAACCAAATAAAAACAAAAAAAAAAAAAAAAAAAAACGCTGAATGGCCAATACCTAAACAGGAGGTATAGGTGGGAATTCTAGGGACAGAAAGGATTCTGGGGCTGGGCAGTGTTGGCGCATGTCTTTAATCACAGCACTCAGGAAGCAA